ATTGAGAGTTGGCGTAACAAGGTTTGATGTTCCCCAGAATTCTCCATGTTTTTCCTGGTTCAAATCTGTCCCAAAGTCAAACTGTTTAACAGTCCCTTGGAAAGAATAAAGCAGGCAGCATGCAAGCACTCTTCTTATCTTGGGGCTCCATTTGCTCAAACAGAAGTGAAAGTATCCTTCACATGGTTACAAACTGCCAGAACAAAGCTAATTTGGTACCTTCTGCAAGTGGCTTTTGCCCTTGGTCCAAACTGACAAGTATGCTCTACGCAACATAGAACTTGTCTGGCTCACACATGACATTCAGAGTTTGCTGGTACCAACATTTGGCAGACAGTGTTTATTCATCTAATGAATCTCAGACTGAGTCACACCTTAGTGGTGCCTGTCTGTCATAAGACAAAGATGAAAACTAACTTGCCTAATGAGTGTTCCTACTGCAACGCCTATCGTTGCTTCCATGTGGAAATGCAACCCTGTTTACCTATTTTTCAAATTTTTTATTATGTAAAGACCTACACAAGTTAGAAATTGCTTAAAAAAGAACCTATCCTCAAATGAGCAAATACTTCTTGTAAGTGATAGCTTATAACAAAGTTCCAGAGATTGAAAGGGGAAGGAAAGCAGTGAGATTTGATCAAGTCAGTAGTATCCAGGACTTGCAAGCTTTTGGTCAGCTGCTTGGTAACAGTTGGCTTCCTCACAAGGCAGCAGCAGGTCCTATAAGCAAAGCAGCTGCTGATCTGTGTAAGACTTTTTCCTTTAGCTCCACTTCCACCAGGTTCTGTGGGAACACGTTAACCTAGAAGAGATAATGCTGTTTCCTTCCTGGGAACAGCTGGTTGTAATACAGTCACTGCAAGGAGAACTCCTACAAACAGTCAAAAGGATTATTGTTAATCTGGTAACATGCAGCACAACCCCACAAATCACAAGCTCCTTCATCAGTCCTGTAGGCAAACTCCATCAGTTTTTGTGGCTGTAATCCCCTGGTGTAATCAATGTACCTCAAGAATGAAAATTTGGAGAACAAAGGAGTTCAGCTGTTTACTGTAATTCCAATTCATATAACTACAGTAAAAAAAGTTGCCCACTTTGTGCATAACATCCATAACTGCTTAGAAACAGCAGAAAACAATTGCTGGAACAAATCAGAGTAGTGGTTCATCTAATGGACTAATCTCTAATGATGGTCTTAAAGACAGAGTGTAAAGAAGACAGGAGGCTGTGAGACAGCTGAGAAGTGCCTAAACTCCTTAGGCGAACACCTGCTTCTGTGCTTTTTGCTGATTCAAAATGAAGATAAGCTGCTTTACAGCAAAAGGAACAAGCAGAATGTACCAATAGATATTGGAAGTACTGCAAAATTGATGTAAATAATGCACTTTGCAAGTGGAGGAAATCTGAGGCTTTCTCAACCAGATATTTTAGAGATCCTTATTCAGGACCTGCTGGTATCTGTCTGTTCCTGACCTGTGCTGTCTTTGCTAAGTAAAAGTAATTGAACATAGATCTGAAAATGAACAGATTTGAAAAAGAAACTTAGAAAAAAAATTTGCTTCAAAGGAAGTCTAATCTAATAGTTTGAGTCATTTCCTGATAAACGTACATCTTTGAAGCTACTTCTTTAAGCTCTTCTCCTAATTACAAAATCTAGAGAATAGTGACAATGGTTGAACATGTGATGGGTGAAGACTAATGCTTCTTCTGATATACTTTGGTTTCCCTCTGTCATGTCTCAAATTAATCCAAGTTTTGTGACAGAGATGCAGAGCCAGGCATGACAGGATCGTGATCTTTGAATGGAGATTTTAGGTACGAGCATTACAAAAACGAGAAGCAGAAGATGTGTTTACAAGCATTTCGGGGATTTAATTAAAAGCAGATTATATATGGTCCCAGCTTATGTAACCCTAGGCTACTTGCTGTGATATTCTACATTTAAATATGACTTCTTGGGATTAACTTGAATGTAAGAACAGCACTAACATCGTCCAGTTCAGTATTTTCCCACTAATGAACTATCTTATTTTTTTCATTAGCATTTCTTTTTATATTCTCAGAAATGCCCTGAAAAATGATGCCCAGTACTGTGTTATAGGAGAAGAAAAACTTCACACACAGCCCTTTGCTGCAGCCCAGCGTTCTCCCATCAGGTTTACAGGACTATCTGCATATTCTACTAATTATTCTTTCATTATCCTTTTAGAATTGTTTTCTAAAAGTCATTCTGAATAATAAAACTAAGCTGAAGTTCTGTTTCGCACAGGATGGGCCATGTTAAGATTGTCCCAACACTACTTCTGTTCTCCATTATATACAACATTGATCTTCTGATGGGTTAAGACTTAAAAGTTAAGTGAGTTTACTACCTCACAATTATAAGGACTTCACATTTTTATCTCTCCTGCCCACTAAGAACCTTGCAGTTCTTGAATCCAGCTTCTTGAGACATTAAGTACTTCCTCTCATTAAATATGCAGCAGTCTGTTATAGATATTGTAATTTTTGTGCTTATAGGCAGCTGGAATTTACAATAGAGTACTTTCTTCCCACACATGCTTGAAAAGGTGAGTGATATCCCCACCATGAGCTGTCAAATGGGTCGTGAACAAATGCTGCTCAGATTATCAATGGTTGAGATGTCAGTAGACAAAAGCTGACTTTACTGTGGTCCTTGATCCACTTTGCATTTCTTGTTCTGCAAAGATATCAAAGATTAAGTTTTATTATGGACTGACTATACAAATGACTATTGGAGAGCTACCCTGAATGGGTGGATCCATTTGTAGCTGCTCTTGGATTATATTCTGCTCTCTTCTCTTCCTTGCCTGCTTCTCACTAATGCACTTTGCACTATGTTAAATGCAATAAACAAAAGTAAATCTTTAACAATACAAAAAGAAAAATCTGATTTACCAGATAAGTACTTCGTTCCTGTTGGCTCATTATCTGTCATGTTTTGAGGTTTATTGCCACAGAGTTTAAACAATAGTGGGGAAATAAAGAGTTCAAATACAGATCCCATTTTTCCATAAATGTCAGCCATATTTTCCTAGGTAGGTCCTCTCTTTCTTTTTCATGATTCTCCTTGGATATCACATCTTCCTTCAGCTTGAGGTTAAGCAAGCCATAGCACCCAAAATAATCTTTCTTACTCTAGGTAGGATCTCCTTAAAAAGATTTATACCTGCATCTGAAGATGCTTAAAGGAGGTTTAAGCAAAATATGAACTTCAACTAAAATAAAAGATTCACTCAGTCAGCATCAAAAAGATGAAGTGAAAAAAAAAGTTGAGAGACTTTGGCCTGCAATAGCAGAGGTGTTTCCTCATTTGTGTTAGCCTTTAAATAACACTTTCAAGAACAAATAACTTCTTCACGAAATGACCAAACACCACAATTCTTCCAACCATTAATAAAAGACAATTCACCAAATCAGCAACATGGTAACTTGAAACAACATAATATCAAAAACGTTTGTCTCATTGAAGAGGATTACTGTAGCAGTATGTTTGTTTCCCAGTAGAGATGGAGTGTGGACACAGCAGTGGGCCGCCAAGGTCACTGTTAAATCAGAGCAGGACCAAAAGCTTCAACACAAAACACATCCTCGCATGAGGGATAGATTTAAAACTTGCAGGTTCCAATGCAGAATTAGAGATTAGGTTGTGAATAAATTCTTTCAGAAAAGCCAAACAAGAGAACCAGGGTAGAAAGCCTAGGCTCTTTTCAGTGGCACTCAGTGCCAGGACAAGATGCACTGGGCAAAACCTGGAGCACCCCCTCCGTTCAGGTATCTGTGGACATTGACAAGATCCTCCAGAGCCTTCTCCAGGCTCCAACCCCTCCATCATCTTTATGGCCCTACGTTGGGATTCTTTCAAGTATGTCCTGGTCTCTCCTGTACTGGGGGGCCCAGCACTGGACACAGCACTCCAGGTGCTGCCTCACCAGTGCCAAGCAGAGTGGCAGGATCACCTCCCTCCACCTGCTGGCAGTACTTCATTTAATGCAGCCCAGAATAACTGCTTCTTAAATCTGATACATTTTCCTTAACTTTTAGAAGTCTTTATTTACTGATCTATATGACCTGTTGCAGCAGCTTATGTTTAGGTATTGTTTATATTTGAGAATACACATAAAGGAGTTATAAAGATGACAGTGGGTAAATAAACAATTACCTATTACTGACAATTCTCCTTATGCTATAGTTTTCTTCTTCTATGTTTTTAAGTATCTGATTGCTATAGCAAAATGTACAGCTTTAAAATAAAAACCGGAGCAAAATTTCTAGGGCTGTTTGAAGGCTTATAGGTAGAATCTTTAACATCCAGGTTACTGTGTGACTGCTAAACAAGAATGTAGGCCAACTATGGGATTAGGATTCAAATACACAAATATTTTTTTCGTTATATGCTCAGCAGTTTCACTTCCTTGAACACTGCCATCATTTCTTTTCATCAGACACATATGAGATTGGATCAATAATTCCACCTAGCTAGAAATAGTGCACTGATATGAACTTGCTAAATGCTTATAAAAGTTTTAAGTACATAACTGCCAATTCTGGTTAAGATCTAAAATCTTTGTAGAACAAAAATGATTTTATGCTTTTTCTGGATGTTAATCTTTATGCTCTGTAACATGAAATAGATGGAAAACAAGCAAATAGTGTGTATCAGTACAATTTTGTCTTGTAGTGCAGGTGGGTAACATGTTCAAACTGTAACTATATAATCTGCAATTTATTTTCCTCATGGGAAAGTAAACCCCTTAGATTTTTCAGGCACATTCATGTTTCAGTTAAAAAATGTATACAGAATGTTTTTTAAATGTATTAACTATTAAAGTTGCTGCCTACATTGAGTCAAAACAGAAGAGAAAACATTTGTTGAAGTACCAGTAGGAATACAATCCTACTCACTCAGAGTAGCACAGAAAAAAACCTTCTATCAACGCAGAACTGTACTGAATGAGATGTCTACACTTGTACATTACCATCTTGAGGAGCAGAAGAGCATATGCTGAAGGTCTGCCCTCCAGAAAGCTGGGAACTGCTTACTCTCACAGCAAACGTCAATGAGCGTTCTGCAGCCTGGGGAAGAGAGGCAGTCCTAGCCTCAGCTTCTTGGATATGGAGGTTTACAGAAAGTTTTTTTGGCATCACCAATCATATTCAAGGTGTCTCTAGGCAGCACTTCAGACTAAGAAGTCTTCTTCCTGGTGGGAGGTTCAAGCAACATAGTAAGCCATGTATTAAAAGAAGAAAGTGAATACAAACTGTAATTCTCTGCCTGTCTCTTCAAATCTTTGACCTGAAGCACCTTATCTTTTGCAAAAGTTAGATAAAGAAGGCCTGTATGGTAGATTCCTTTTATGGGCAAAGAAAGAACTCATGGCCATGGGATAGTTCCCTCCAGATGCAGACAAGCAAATAAACAAATAGCTTGTGATACATCATTGGGATTGCCACTTTAGCATGAGGAAAGCAGGTATTTTGTGTTTCACATCTGAAGCAGTTTCTCCCAGGGAACCCAGGGAAAGTACATAAAAAGAAGTGATTATAGGCATTTAAAATAAAATACAATATTATTTTTTTCTTCTTATACTGGATTTGAGACAGACCAAAAGTGGGATTGCCTTTGCACAGGTTTTAGAGTATAGGGATTATAACTCATTCTTGCTTTACTCTTCCCACACATTTTCAGGATTCCTGTTTTCCAAAAATATCTTCAAGACCATCATCTGGTGGGAAGCATGCTTTCTACACAGCTGTCCCCAGTTTTTGCTGGGCTGTAGGAAAACATATCAAGCAAATAATGTGCTAGAAGTACTCACTGCCTTTGACTTTAAAATTGATTATCTTGTAGCTATGAGCAAAATGAGGGGAAGGGGACTACAGCGGCTACTACTATGGTTTGAAAACTTGACCCAACTTGTAGCACTGCTAATTTGCTATTTTGGCAAAATATCGTTTCTATTTCTGCGTCTGTTTTTGCATTTGTAAAATCAAAACACTCTCTTACCATCTTGACACACGTAAAATCTGCTGAGGCTCATGACACACCACAGTGCCAGGTACCAAAGGCCAAAAGCTGGCCTATATCGGTACATTCCATCTGCTTCACACTCCTAGGAAAAAACAGTGAAATTAATTGCAAAGATATTACTATGGCTATTTGGATTTCAAAATTAGTGTAGATTGATATTTACTTAGAAGTGATACTTCCTCTCAACAAAGAAATCAAAAGCACAAGTTCTCCTTTCTAACTAACTTTCCTCTTTGAAACACATCATAACACAAACAATGCATATGAAAAAGGAGAACTAAGCCAGACTGTACATTTTTGCTATTCATTGCTTCTCACGTTGCCACTGTTTAGAACTTTCTGGATTTCTTCTCCTTTGGACTTTCAGAAAAGGCTACCATTGTGATCCTTAAAAAGAGATACCCTGACTATGTCACATCACTTATCTACTTTAGTTTATGTGTTATTTAAAGAGAATTCTTAGGCAGGGAAACTGTGTTGATAAATAAACACATTCATCTGTGATGCAGAGTACTGACATGCTGATGCCACTGTACTATACAGCTTGAATCACTACAGTCAGAAAGGAAGGAAAATTGCTAAATAGACTTTTCAGGCTATGAAAAATTGCTCAACCAGCAGTCTGTCAGTGCTATTCAGACTGGATAAAAAGAATCCCAAACAAGAATTCTGGTATTGAATCCAATTTACAGCCAGAGAGGACAGAGTCACTAGATGATTGGAAAACCAGAGACAACTGCTCAGACTATGTTAAAGGAATTTCAAGTATACGCAGAAATCAGTCAGGAATTTGAAGCAACCTCCATCAGCATTCAAGAATATTCCCTCAATGAATGTCTAATTTCTGGCATCTCCGCTGACTTTGCTACATTTTGCAGTGGAAACTTTGTGTATTAGAACGGAGACTTTTGTCATCAATGTGTTTTTCATCATGCACATACACACAGAATTTCCTAAGTAATTCTTCCAAGGTCTACAGCTCCTAATTTAAATGTCTATTAAGAAAATTATTTCCAGTAGGGAAGTACAGATGAAATATTGTGGAAGATGTTTTAAACATAATTGGTTATTCTTCCCCAGAGGTTATTTATAAAAAATATCTGATCAAATCTTTTCCCTACATCCCTACTTTTACCTCAGAAACCAACTGAGCTTCTACTGATGTGCAGAAGTTCTTCAGCATCCCTCCATCCTGACAGCTCTAGCATCTACCATACTGCTTCCTGGACACTAAGATGGGCCGCAGTACCATACTAGACACACTGCAGATGAGATACTGTATGGAGCTGGTCATACTGACTGCTTCCCCAGAATATAATTCTTTGAGCTGAGGTCGGAGGTTAGGAACTCAGAAGATGGGATACTGCCAGTCCAGCAAGTGCAAAGATTAGACTGCAAATATCTGTGAAACAACAACTGAGAACTAAATTAACAAAAATTTGCTGGTGTTCAGAACAAGTAGTAATCATTTATAAGCATGTTGTTATCCTGCCACATAATTCTTACTGGTAATTTTTACTGGTGCTGGAGCTCTATGATCCAAACATCAGCAGACTCAGTGCCTGTTCCAAGTGATCTGTTCTGCCTGAGAGGAGCTCCAGAGCTGATTGCTCTATCATTTCTCATGTACTTCTCCACGTCCTCAAACAAGTGACCAGGAAAGTGAAATGTGAGGATCTCCTAAAGGGATTATCAGTCTTTGATCCTTGATAGACTGCTCACTCGTAAAGCCCCAGTAAGTTGTATTGGAAGGGAATACTTCCTAGAGACAATCATTTTAGCTACATTATACAACTTACTGTAGTTTACAGAAAAACTGCCCTCCTACTCCTTAATTTGTAGTTCACCCAAGCAAAGTCTTTCTTCATTTGGTATTCTCTTTCAGAGATGCTTTGTTTTAAAAGCTGTCTGATACTTGTTCACAGCCCTATAACCTCACCTCTTGGATAACCAGTCCTGTCCGCATATGGCAGCTCTAGAAGGGTAAGTGTAGCTTTTCACACTTGCATTGTAGGAACAGTTACATGTAGGGAACATTCCTGAAATGTCTTGTACTCATTCTTTGGAAGATGTTACAGATCTATCTATCTTGTTTTCCATTGCAGCATCACCATTGCAGGTTTTATCACAATTAACAGTAGCTGTGCAAGTCCCATTGATGTTCTTACCTGAAAGAGAAGAGGTAGAGAGACGATAAGAAATTTCAGCAGACTTTCAAGAAAAATTTCCACAGGAGCAGCATGGCCATGATGGCTTACAAGGAAGAAATTGTGACACTTCTGAGGGTAGGGAAGCCATTGCTGTAAATGCAGAAGTACCTTTCTTACTTAGGAAAAGAAGATAACATCTGTCACATGCAGGAAAAGTAACACCTTAAGGACAAGGCATTTTGTCAGCATGCCATGGAGTGCAAAGCATTTTCAGTGGCAGCTGGCTGCAGCTGCATGCTCTGCAAGCACACTGTGAGCACCAGGACCTGTGGCAGCATCCAATTGCCTCCTGGCCTATGGACTGAGGAAGAGATAGGAAGGAGCTGTTATTCCACCTCTTGGTTTTCAAGAAGTCTGCAAGGGTCATGTAACTGTCATGCAAACCTCTTGCCGATTGTTTTGGGAAAAGCAGCACATAACAGTACTAATCTTGTTGAAGAAATGTTATCTAAATTATTATCTTATTTTGTCTTCTATAGCTGAGAGCGATTACAGAAATTGAAGAAACAGAAGAAAAAAGGAATTAATACTCTTTCTGTCACCATCACTTGGACTTCACTCAATTAGCCCAGTACAGTGCATTGAGCAGGTGATAAAAACTGTATTTTCTCTTTACACTGAAATACAAGAGAGCAAGAATGGGAAACAGAATACAAGTTCAAACCCACACCAACAAGGAAAAGTACAAGTTCAAAACCACAGTTCTGTGTCAAGTTTCACAATGATGGAGTTGAGAAAACTAGGCAAAACCACTCCACTGACAGTTGGTAAAATCATATATTTTAGGGGCTTCCCTGCAGCATTTCTGATTTTTGTCAGCTAGCAGATTTTAGACACAAAAGACACTAAAATACACATCAGTCACGGTAGATCTATCTTTAGTCACTTGTAAAAACAAGCCCTTAATGCTATTTTCATTTCAGTAGCTGTGCTCATTTTCTTGTAACAGTAGCCAGTGAATCAGATGATCAGATGAAGTTTTCTTCTTCAGGAGCTTCAGACTCATGATTCTACAGCTCTGCAGTGTGACCTCAGGGCTGCTTGGCAGAGAGGGACATGGAGCTCTCAACCCCTTTTCTTGAAGCTGTTCTATCCTGCCCAAAGGGTGAAACCAGAAGTTAATGTCTTCTGAGAAACAAGCAGGGCTGGCTTATTGCCCTTCTTCCAAGATGTATTTCAATACCTTTATTTGGTGGTTATCTATAGATTCCGGTTTTAAAAAATAAATGTGTGGATCATGAACTGAGGCCAATCCAAGAGAGAAACAGATGCTTCAGCCTCCAGGCTGGGGATCAGGCAGAAGAGCTTTCATGGGACCAGCAAAGGCAGCCTCAAGCTTCCTTCCTTCTCCTAAGCCAGGAGGCTGAACTTCAGCATCTCTGGGGCAGCAGAGGAAACTGTGGTCTCCTCCTGAGCACAGACTCCATTGAAAAGGAGTGGCTCACAGGCCACTGTTAAAAGACAAACATGCACCATGCTTTTGTTTTTGCCAAAACAGGTTGGGCCCCTATCCCCAGGAGAGTCTCAGAGCTATGTGCTGCATGTAAAGCAAGGCATCTCCAGTAGCATTCAGTGTATCTTGAAAAGAATGTGCAAGTCAGTGTGCTGGACTTTGCTCCAAAGCAATATTTCTGTGTCTCATGTAAGGGATTGAACAATCTTGAGTGCTTCCACCTCTGGGTGTGACGCAGGCTTATAGAAACAACATGGATTCCTCCGACACCTTATCAAGATCTCTGTGATTGAGTTCAAGTATTTTTAGGGAGTTGAAGCTATCCACTGAACCAGAAAAAGGTTAACAAATTAAGGAAAGATACTATTGAACGGAAACACCGCAGTACTGGCCTGGTTCACAGAAATCTGCATGTCAAACAAATTAAGAATTGTAAATACAGGTTTCTCCCTTCACTGCATAACCAGATTAGGAACTCTTTTTCACTTCTCTTTTTTTATGTTTTTTTTCTGTATTCTTCTTTTTCCTGAGAAAGATTATTTCTCCCTTCAAAACTACAAATTTGGAATAAATAAGAACAAACACAAGCAAACATAGCAAAAGCCACTTAACCACAGTGTCTATGACAAAAGATGAAGTAGACTTTGCCACTGAAAACTGTGGTTGAAGAACTGTCCAGCAAGCATGTCAGAGATCTAAAGAGAGCTATGCACTAATAGAAATGTATCTACTCAATAACTTCTGTAATTTGGCCAATCTATCTCCTCAAAATTTAAGCATTTTACTGATCCCCCTTCAAACTGCATCTGTGTATACAAGTGAGGTAAAAGTCATTCTTAAACAGTATCTTCAAGCATTCGGTTCCTCTGAATATTAAGCTGTAACTGAGATACTTAAGGCACAATTACTACTATAGAGTTATTCAAAATATCCTTATGCAGTTTAAAGGGCAAGTCTCTGAATCTATGCCAGCATAGATTCCAGGCAGTACTCCAAAGCATTACGAGAAACCAGCTGACTTCAGTTAACCAAGTCAACAAAACACCACCTTATCCTTGGAGCAGGTTCTATTTACTGTAAAAGAACAAGAGATTTGCACCAGGTCCATGCTGCACGCTGTGGTCAGCGGTGTCACACAGATCTTCTGTTGTGCTCCCTTCTGTTCCCTGCCTGATGGTCAGCAATGTCACACAGAGCTCAGTTAACACACTTCACTGACCACAAATCAGTTAACTATACATTTATTTAATACAGTATCCTTAAGCAATTACAATCTTAGTTGGCAAATGCTCAACAGATAGCAATTCCAAACATATACTCACAAACAAATGGTCTTAGCAAAGCACACAACAAATAATGTGCTACAGGAGAAGGGATTGTTAGGAGGGATAATAGTCTGATGTTCCATGGTCAGTGCAGATGTTGGTGTGCACGGTGTGGGGGTCTCTGTGCAGCTGAGGGGGGATCCCATTCAATAGTGGTCCCTGCACTACTTCTGTATTCTGCTAGCATCTGATCTCTGCTGATATTGTTACTTAATGGCTAGAGTGCAGGCTGCTTCTGCTGTATGAGATTAGTCTGATAAGCTATGCATGGCCTGCTTCATGAAAAAGTAAGGAAGGCCTTCCCTGGGTCCTGCAGCAGTTGGTTATACTTCTTTTACTTAAGCCTAGAGCCATGGAAGCACATCTGTGAGTGCTGTAACATGTTTTTGTCTTGGCACAGCACCACCTTGACAAGAAACGACAACAGAGTGGCACGACGTCCCGACAGAAATTGCTGAGTCAGGCTCTTGATATTAGTTTGTGACTGGCAGGGGCAGAGTCAGGTTATCGGTTTTCCCAGCAATACAGGCTATGCACCAAGATGACTAGGCAGAAAACCACTACCAGACCTTCTCCTGGTCCTGTTTTCCACTCCTCACCCATCTATGCTTTCCTTTTCTTCAGCATGTCTTTTCAGGAGAATCCTACAGGATTAGGATAGGAAGGCCATTATTTTGTCTTGATGAGAATTGCACATTGATTAATGGCAAATTCACAGCAGCAAGTGATACAGTTGTACCTGTAAAGTGGTATGGCATACCACTTTATGCTATAAATCTTAGCAATTAGATGAAATCTTAATCTATTTCATAAGTGGCCAAGGTTCTACTGTTCACAAATCTGTCTTCCCTCAAAACCAAACCACAATTCTTAATTCAGTGTAACCACATCTTCAACTTGCCACTAAAGCAGCATTTGAAGATTTGCTGTCTGATCTTTCCAGAGTTGAAATAATTTGTACTTAAAATCACTGCAAAATTGGTAGTCTTATGAAATCCTAGAAAACACCAGAAATGTTTAATGAAGAATTTTTTCTAATAACCCCCAAATGAATTTCTTTACAACAATAAACTGCAGACCACTTCTGAACCTGAGGAAGTCATTTGTCCAACGATTCCTCTAGTGACCAAGGATGTTTTCTAGCTTCTAAGTTATTTTAAAGGAAGATAATAACCCATACAGTACCTTCAATAATCACAGAACATATGTTGACATACCTTTAAAGAGAATATCAATAAAATCACTTGCAAGGTATAATGACAGTCATCTATGGGATTATCTAACAGAGTTTGTCAGGAAAACAGACAATCCCTGCAGTGAATTGCTGGCACAAGAACTGGAGGGAGGGAAAAGTAAAGAATCATTTATCCATTTTAAAACAAAAAGAACAAACCAAACCATGTGCTCTGTGTCTTGTTTTCAGTTGTATCATTCCGATGCTACTACTCAAGTCAAATAGCAGTAACAGAGTAGTAAATCAGATACCTAATGCAATTGACTAATGCTCACCTCTCCCACGGAAGTATTGTCTTTCCTGAAAAGGAACACAGCATGTGATATTTTCTTTGACCTCAGAATAAAAATTCAATGACTCAAACAATAGAGCAATATTACTGAGTCACTGAATTCAGCTTGCTGGCAGAACTGTGCAGGGGATTGGATTCCATCTCTAAAGGTCCCTTCCAACCCCAAGAATTCTGTGATTCTTTGTGACACATGAAAGAAGAGCTGATAGAGCAGCTTAGGTAACCAAGCTGGCAGACAGAGAGGCAAGACCTTCGCTACTGCAGTTCTGGAGCTGCTTCAAAGTTAGAAGTTGTTTGCAATACATTTCTCATAGACCACAGTGCCTGTTGGTACGGTAATGATGTATGTAAACTTCAGGCACACATAAAGTTATTTAATAATTGTACCTGATGATAGGTCTTGGAGATTCTCCCTCTTCCTTGGGAGTGGGATTGCTCCCAGTTATTTCTATGTTGTAGGCTATCCATCCATTACACACTCCGTTCTAATCTTTAATAAAATTCTGGGGCACTTACTGGCACATTAGGAAGTGTTGATTTAACCCTGCCAAGGTCAAAATGTAACAACCACCACATTAATGTTGTCACTTATAAATATGTAACCTGTGTTAACTGTGAATCCTACTGAGAACAGCTCTACCAGATCTTCCAATACATTAGTTATAGTATCAGAACTGTACCAGTACTGGGGCTGGCACAGAACTACGTTCCAATTAATGCTTTTTAAACATTTACCTGGGCATCTTTTGGACTTCCACTGTTTCATTTGGATATTAGTCTGGAGAAGAGGTGGCTCTGGGCAGACCTTACGGCTTCCTACAACTCCTGAGAGGAGGCGGTGCTGAGGTGGGGGTTGGCCTCTGCTCTCCCGTAAGGATGAGAGGTGATGGCCTTACATTGCACCAGGGGAGGTTCAGGTTGGGTACAAGGGAAAATTCTCAGTAAGAGCGGTCAGGCAGTGGCACGGGCTGCACAGGGAGTGGTGCAAAGCCCATCCCTGGAGGTGTTCAACGGCCGCGGAGATGCGGCGCTGGGGACGTGCTCAGCAGCAGTGGGTGGCAGGTGGGCGGTTGGACTTACAGCTCTTTTCCAACCGCGGTGATTCTGTGATTCTATTTTACAGAAGACAGCGCAGGCTTATGTAACATCAGTAAAGCTGCCCCTCAATCCTTCCCTTTGTTCCCACCGACTGACCCGTTTCTCGGTCATTCTGAGCACACTTCGCTTCCCCTACCCATATTCGGAAGCCTTTCTCCGTGCTGCTGCCTTATAGCCGAACAACCATCCCGCGGCTTCAACAACAGCAGGCTGCAGCACCATTAACTACAGGACGGGAATCCCCGCGCCAGGCTCTCCAGCCGCTCGGCCCCGTTCCCCTGGGGGCGGCCGTGTGAGCGGAGGAGCCCCGGGCCCCGCGCTACCTCAGCCCGAGCCGCCCGCCCACCCGCGGGCGCCGCCGCGCAGCTCAGCGCGGGCAGCGAGGCTCCGCCGCGCCTCAGCACCGAGCGGGCCGCGCGCGGGGCCGGCGGGATCCTTCTCCCTCTGACACCTCCGGGCGCCGGCGACCGCCACGCTCGGCGACCGCGGCATGAAGCAGGTAGAGGCGCGGGCGGGAGGCGCGGGGCGGCGGGCTGTGGCGGCGGCGCGGCCTCCCCGCCCCTCGGCGCTGACGGGAGCGATGTGGGGGTCCCCGCCGCAGGCGCTGGTGGACGACACCGAGGACGTGTCTCTGGACTTCGGCACCGAGGAGGAGCTGGCGCTGCGGAAAGCCAAAATCAGGTAACGGGGAGCGGAGCCGATCGGGCCCCGCCCCACCACCGCAGGCTCTGCTCCCGCCGGCCGCTGCTGCCGCGTGGCGCTCGGGCCGCGTTCTGCGCGGGGGCGGCTGCAGGGAGAGCCCCGACACAACGCCCCGATATATCGCCCCGATATATCGCCCTGACACACCGCCCCGACACACCGCCCCGACACACCGCCCCGATATATCGCCCTGACGCACCGCCCCGACACACCGCAGCACCGCCACAGCGCAGCGTTCTGCTGCTTGGAGCTGAAGGGCCCCCAGCCAAACGCTGTGACAAAATGAGGTGTATGGTAGCATCATAGAACGGTTTGGTTTGGAAGGGACCTAAAAAAACCATCCAGCTCCAACCTCCTGCCATCGCAGGTTGCCACCCAGCAGATCAGGCTGCCAGGCCCGTGCATCCTCCAGAACTTCTCTGGCTAACCTGTGCCAGTGCCTCTGAATAAAGGCCAACTCCTTCAGCCTGTCTTCACAGGAGAGGTGCTCCAGCCTCATCTTCATGGCCTTCCTCTGGACCTGCTCCAACACCTGTCAAAGGGAATTGCCCATACAATACCTCATATAATCAGCTCTCTTCCCTCCCACCATGCTCCAGATGACTGTGGTAGATTGCAACATTAGCATGTCTTGTAGGCATAAATAAAATAAGGGACACTAAGCCTCCACAGCTTATCTGAGGCACACAAGCAGTCACGCAGATTTACAGTACAATTGCTCAGCTCTACCAGTGTCTGGTGGAACGTCTCAGCCCTTCCACTACGCTAGACTTGCAGCAGTCTGGCTCCATGGTGAGCTGCCATGACATAGCATTAACATCCCCAGCTCTGTTTTCTGTGTTCTCTGCCATGGCAGCAGGTTTGAGGAAGGTTTGCGTTCTGTTCTGTATTATGGTGTGGTTCTGGAGCACATGGCATGAATGGAGGTGACTGAACTGGGAACTAAAACTTGCAAGTGTTGCATGCAGCAGGCACAGCTTCACTGTGGAACCAGACTGGAGTCTGGTGGGAAGTGGAACAGTGCTGAAGTGCTTGTTTCAGGCCTGTGACACCAGCCCTGTACTGTAGAGCTCTGTTCTGCAGGTTCATGCTCCCTGATAACCATACCACAGTGGGCTCACTTCGTTTAGAAGCTTATTTCACCAAAGACTGCTCTTCTTTCTTACCCTCACTGTGACAGTGCTAAAGGATAACCTCTTATTGAAATATTTCGTGCTGTAGAATACAGAAATGAAACTGCTCGGATTCTTTGGAAATAGAAAAACAAACTTCTCTGTGAGCAATCATGTGCAAATTAGCCTGGTACACAACCATGAGCTGCAGAACTTCATTGCCTATAAGAGATCATAATGACATATTCTGGACCTTTGCTTTTATTTAATTTTATCCCGCTTTCATACATCTTGGACTTACTCAGTGTTTGCACAAGCCGTGACAAGTTGTACATTTGTGATTCTCCAGCATGTGTGCAAGCGCTCTTTAGAACCAAAAGGTGCACAGATAATGGTGCAGTTGGTGGCTGCTTCTGTTAGGAGGAGAGCACAGCCTTGCACAACTTGCAGCTCTGTGCAGTATCAAAACATTTGATCAGGATCAAACAGGAGCATATGCTCACTTCTGTTTCACATTGGTCAAGTAACACAAGATGATGGAGCCAGAGGGTCTGGTTGCTCAAAATTGGCCCAAATATATCTGAAGTTCTGGATAGGAGATGCAGAGAGTGGCATGCAGAGCTGCCGTGGCACTTGGAGCAGGTGCCTGGGTAACACTGGTTCAGTGGTACATCGTAGGGCTGACCCAGTTTGATCCCTTAATGCAGGGTCCAACTAAATTCATAGGAGTTCATTCCTATCCTAATAGGCATCATCCTTGCAAATGGAACAAAGTTATTAATGATATAATTGGTAATAGTTTAGTCTTATGAGAAGTTAGTGTGCTTTTAAAGCCTACACTGTCTTCCGTTAGTACAAGAAATCATGTTAGTTCATACAATTTCTTAATTGCTATCATACATCTGGGAACTGTATTTTTAAAAAATGTATCAAATACAATTGAAAATGTATTCACTAAGAGCTTAAGTCAAAAAGCATGCAGAGGCTTTGCCTTCACGCTTCAATGGTTTCCTTTGTATCGGATTATTTGTTCAAAGTTCTGTTCCTATATGGTAGAAAGTATAAGCTTCATCTGGTGGCTGTAAGGGAAATACATGTTTGCTCTGCTGGATGAGGAAGCAAACAGTATAAACTGGATTTGTTTAGTTTCAGAATTGTATTTATTATTAGCATAAATATGTGCACATTTTCTGCAAATGAGGGAGTCATGCAGGGAACAACAAACCAGTGCTGAGCAGTCTGCCTCTTCCTCCCCTAGGACCTGCAGATGTGTCTCTGGCCTGAGCAGCTATATCTCTACATATCTGTGAGGGGCTTGACTCTCTGTAGTCCCCATAAAAAGCATTCAGGGCTGTAACGTGGGCCTCCTGCTTCTCCAGAGTGCCCCCAGCATAACTGTAAAAGCTGTCTGCCCTGATGCTCTCTAGGGTTGCAGCCTACAAGTGGCCCTTATTACTACAGCATACTATTTGTGCAGCTGAACTCTTACATCATGTTGAAGAAGAAGTACCAAGGCAGGATCTGCTTTTGGCAGCTCACAGGATTCCTTCTGCCTGTGTAAGAAAAAACCCCTTTCATTTCACATGTCACGTGTTTATCTGTAAGTCAGAAGTTTTTGGAAAGTCTGTGGTTAGTGTGGGCACAGCAGTAACTGCAAGATTCAGCTGTGTGTCATTCTTGCTTCTCCAGTCAAGCAACTTTACTACAGCACAATATTTCCATTATATAATAGTTGACTTCTACAATAAATAGGTAAATAAATAGGTATGGAGTAATAATATTACAATAAAGGAATACAAATAGTAAGTACTATAATTTAAACTCTATTCAAATTTATGAAGATTTATAATATGCATATGAAATTTTTAATTATACTTAATAGAAAAAGAAATAAAACAGCCAGATAGTTAATGAAGGTTTGGGCCATACTACTGTTAATTGTTTAAAGAGGTAGAGGGGCTTAATGAAACAATACAGATGGAAATAAGCCATCTTATTTGGAAAACAGATTTTATTCATTATAGTTTCAAGGGAGGAAGTTACTCAGGTGGAATGGCTTTTAATTAACTATCATTTTAAACTCACAGAAACAGCTGTTTCTGTCGTCTTGCACTTGGCATATTACCTGGACTGTGCATCTTATAGCATTTCCCCAAGCCTACGTCCTACTGTACAGACCAACATTCAACTCTGTACAGTTGGTTCTTCTACTGAAATTTCCCTCAGTTTTGTTGTAGGCCAAATCTCCTTTGAGAAGCACAGCACAGATATGTTGTGAAATTAATGACCGTTCATTCAGAAGAATTGTAAACTTCCTAAATTGTACTCACTCTGTAAAAGGAAGTGTTCACTTTCAGTTATTCCATATGAAGGTTCATTTTGTCTTTCTATATCATTTTAATTCCAGAGAGTTGCTGGTCTTGTTTTTAAAGCACTTTGGAAAGACACAAGATCTGTCTCAATTAATTCCTTTGTGCTCTGCGATACAGATGGAGGAGCTGGGATCGAAGTGCTGAATGCAACTGCTCACCAGATTCCTTCATACAGCACCACGAAGCTCATGCTGTGCAGGTTTTGTTCCATCTTTGAGGAAGCATTAATACACAACAATTGCTGTTCTTAGCTGCAGATGGGAGGTTGGTTATTGGAAGTATCATCACTTTGATCATTTATCAACATCTGAGATAACAACTACAAACTGAGATGCCACTGTAGACCAGAAATAGTTGTTGTACTGCTCTGTCAACATATACACTAACTGTCCTTCTTGTCCCATAACTTCCTAAGTGCTCTGTGTTGTTTTTCCAGGCACCCACTGGCCACCTTTTTCCACCTGTTTTTCCGAGTCAGTGCTATTATTACCTACTTGTTCTGTGACTGGTTCAGCAACAGCTTTGTTGCCTGTTTTGTCACTATTCTTCTTCTTCTGTCCTTTGACTTTTGGTCAGTTAAGGTAAGATGATCCTGAATAGTAATTACCTTTGGAAAGTATTGTTATGCCATTAACAAATATATATACTATTAATAAAAAGGGAAGATATGTACTGAAAGGGAGACAGACATTGTGATCTGTTGATTTAGTAAATGGGTCAATCCTGTTTTATACAAGACTCTTACATATCTTAGTCACTGATGTAAGTTACTAACATGGTAGGAAAGCAGCCTTGTCACAGACAGATTTGTTTGTATACTTTGTGTATCCCTAGGAAAAAATAGAGATGGTTGTTTTCAATAAGGATGGGAAAGGACCCAGAGGATGTCTGGAGCTGCAGTGCTGTGCCTCACAGCCCTCAGAGAACCCAGCTGTGGTACCAGCACCATAGTGATGGCCCAGGGGGTTGGTGGGGCCAGCCCGGAGTCCCCAGGGGTACAAAGAACAAACTTTAAGTCCCGTGTGAAACACTGATATGTCTCCAACATACTGTAAAATTATAGTATTGATCCAGGTTCAAAAATACTTTCTTAATTTAATTGTTTGCTTGATTCCAAGCAGCTCACTTGTTTATAATTAATTTTCCATTTTTTTTTTTCAGTGTGTTTTCGGTTGGGGTTCTCTCAGTAAGAATTTATCAGTCTTTTGCAAGTAACTGACTTAGGAAAGATGCACCCTATCATTTCTTATCTAAGTTAATATTATTGTGCTAATGAGCAAATTAGGAGAATGGGTCTCCATTTATATTAACTCATCTGTCCTTAGTGACCGTTGTGCACAAATTGACAGAGGCTTTAGAAATAAGTTTAGTACCTGGTAAGAAATACCATTTTCAGACATGCTTGTCTTTATTTTAAATGTTTTCTGACAAATGAGTGATGCAGCTGCTTAATGCAAATAATTGTTTCTGTCACTAGAATGTGACAGGAAGACTCTTGGTTGGTTTACGTTGGTGGAACCAGATTGATGAAGATGGAAAAAGTCACTGGGTATTTGAAGCAAAAAGGGTAAGAATGATAATTAAAGGCACATGACAAGCAGAAAGCATGTGAAAAGCTTGTCGTATCCATACTAATTAAAAAAAAGGAACAAATGAGAACAACTTATAATGAATCCATCTTCCCATAGTTATTTACAAAACAGAATTATCTTCAGGAAAGAACTATGTTGAAAGCAAGGCTGAATAGTTCAAATTCATTTCTTAAAAGTTAGTATCTTTTATTGATGTTCATGGAATATGCTGGGCAGCAGCACCCAGATTCAGGAGCATTCTAACTCTGCTAGTGCTGAGCAAAGAAGCCCTGTGAAATGGCACTTGGATTGCTGCTCAAGTCAAGACTGCCAGTTCCACATTTGTTTGCTAACAGTGTCCAGCACCCCAGCAGACAAGAGCTTGGTTGAACAACACTCAAGTGTTGTACAGTAGGTCACCCCTTTCATGCAAAGCCAGAGGTGCACACAACTGAGGTGCTGAGCCCAATGAGAACTGCCCCAGAGATGCAGGCCAGCAGTGCCCTCTAGCAGCCCTATGTGCAGCTGGGGCTGTACCTGCAGGAATGCAGCAGGCAGTGTGGCTGCACACCAGTAAGAGGATAGCAAACGTCAGCTTTCTGCCTGTAATTTAAGTGAAATCTAGGATACAAGCAAGTCTGCAGGAAAGCAGAGAAGCTGGAAGACCTCCAGTGTATCACAGTTTTGTGGAGCTAAGAAAGACAGCAAGAGCTTTCTTGGCACTTACAGTAAAATGAGTAAGTGCATTGCCTACTTCACTTACTGCAGTTTGTCAGTCAGCCTACAAGTACAAAGTCAGCTCACCTCTGTGGGCTCGAGCCTTCAAAAACTTCTGGCAAATAGGTTGATTAATGTGAGAATCATAACAGCAGAGGAAGGAAGGTATAATTAGGGTAGATTGTATTTTTGTCCTGGTTTACTGATGAGAACTCCTTTATCATGGCACAGTCTGGGGTACGCACTGTTCTCTTACTTCCCAGTCTGGAGCTCCATTTCTTGCCACTCCTCTGGCAGCTTTTTAAGATCTCCTCTGTGGGGTGGGTTTGCTTAGAAGTATGACAAGTCATTCAGCACCAACCAGCTGAATGCACTGCTGCTGCTGGGACAGAAGCTCAAACTAGAAATCTTACCAGCAGCTGAGGTGTGCTGGAAGACAGTAACACATCCAGAACATCACAACTGTCAGCCCTTTTCTTTGGGAGGGCTGCAGCCCTTTAGCTCTTTCAAGGGTGGAGTTCTCAGCTGCATTGACTTATTTTTCCCCTGAACAGTAAGTGCTAGTGCAGCATCACTGCTGGGTAATGTGTTGGTAATTATGGTTACATGTAATTAAAATTCTGTTTGTAGCACTGTCTTCTGTGTCACACATCTCTCAGGACTTAGTAGGAATCTGATGCCAAATTGAATTAAATGTAATAAATGTATGTGAAGATTTAGGTCAGTTCCTCCTTTGTTGATCTGTTATTTATTGTGGGTTTTGGTTTTGTGACTAAAAATTTCAATAATTTCCTTTGTAGGTGCCTACAATAGCTGCCTCAACTGAAGCTGAAGCTCGAATCTTTTGGCTTGGCCTCATTATCTGCCCAGTAATTTGGACAGTGTTTTTTTTCAGCACCTTGTTTTCCCTGAAGCTGAAATGGCTGGTAAGTCTGGGGTTACTGAATGCACGATAGCTGACAAGCAGTGTTAGTTGAGGGAAAACCCAGAGCTGTGGTTTTGCAAAAATCTTTACATCAAGATCTCTAATGTTACAAAAATTCCAATAAGAACTTGAAATCAGAGTTTTCTACAGTAAAGCCTGGCTTTACTGTGTTATCAGCTGTCAACAATTTCACCTGTCTCAAGAAGGGCATCTTAAAAGGTTGGCAGAATTGTATCTTCACTTTTAAGTATAGCAGCTTACTTTTCCCCAGAGCTATGTACCCCATACACTGCATTATGCTAACAGACTTTAAGAAATCATCATGTTTTCCCATGTAAACTTTTCTATTAAGTGTCTGCATAATCACCATAGAATACATTTTGTTACGTCGCTGTGCTAAGTATGATTTTGTTATTGATTTTAAGAGGTAAAGTGCCTTGCATACATACTGCTACATAACAAACAATACCTGAGATTACATTTTATTACTTAATGGACCAGGAAATTCATCTGAGTATGAATTGATTGCAAATAATTAACTGCTTTATAGTGGCTCAAATGGCATCACTAAAGAAACAATAGTTAAAATTAAACCAGCAGTTATTATCCACCCTTAGTTTTGAAAACCAGAAATTGGACTAAAGCTAGCAATGAAGATGCATGTTGCTCATACATTGGGAAGCAAATTCCACAATGAAAACGCAATAGCTTCTACGAAACAAAGTTTCTTTGAGCCTATGAGCACCAATGGTTCCACCTATTTTTACTGCCTGCTACTGGTGGATACTGATTTGTATCTATTGATGCTCTTTGTAAACCTGCAAGTTACAGGATCTTACTTACAGTGAGGCATTTGTCAGCAAACGTATCTGCAGGCTTGCTGTGTATCTGCTTATGAAGATATTAGATATAAGTCAGGCTTAGAAGAAGTGAAATGATTATAGAATCAGTTGGATAGGTGCTTTTTTCTTTTTTTTGAATAGGAGTTTAAATATTTCAAGATACAGAATGACTTAAGCCAAAAATTGTAACACTTCTAAAAAAATGTCTTCTCTTACTGAAAGGGATTGCTGTGTTTAATATGAATGTAGATCTTTTAAGGTTATTCATTATTTGAAGCAATATATTTCTTATACATATATATATATATAAAACATGTTTCTTATAACATATGTATGCATATATTTTCCATGCGTACAATCTACATACATGGCAGCATATTCACCTCTGCTAAACTTCTGTTTGTCTGCAGGCTCTTGTCATAGCTGGTATCTCCCTTCAGACTGCTAATTTGTATGGATACATCCACTGCAAATTAGGGGGACAAAAAAGCATCAGCAAAATAACTTCAAGGTTTTTTGTCACAGCAGATGTTGCCAAGAGTAAGTATTAAAGTTGGTCTGCCAGCAGTAGCCCATGAAATATCAAATGCTGACCTGCCTCATACTGTTATAGGCTTTGGCTTCCTCTAGATACTGGTTCCTAACGTATCTTCTGAGCTCCCACCATGGGGTTGTACCCAAAGTCACTTTGCTCTGTATTCAGGAGCTGGCTGAAGCTCCATGGCTGAGCAGCTTCTAAACCCCATGATGAATTTTGGTTAAATGCTCGGTACGATGCTGATTTGGCACGACATGTGGGCATTGCTAAAAGGGCCTTAAATCCTCAGGTTTCCAACAGCCTCTTCCCTGTGTATATTAAAATGATGCTAACAGCTGCCTGTCATGTTTTCACTCAACAGGACAGAGCAGGCGGATTTCAGAAGACTGCATTGAGGAACATGGGAAGACACGGACCAGATAATCATTTAAGGAAAAATAAAAGGATGAGCAGTAGGAGTTCTCATTTATTAAAGCTGATTTTCATATGAAATTATTGAAGTAAAGCTCTTCTAGAATTGCCTGCATGAAATAATGATTTTCTATCATTTGTTTAAAAGGCTCCTAAACCTCTCAATCTACTTCAAAATAACATTTTCCCCCAAAGGCAGTTTGCTTGTAGTTATGCAGAACTTCAAAAAGCAGACGTTATCTTGAGAACCTGAAACTGCTAGATTGTCCTGAGCACCAAAATGCAGCCAGAAGACAATCATTTGTTTAATTCTGAAACTAAAACTAATAAAGTGAAAGTACCTTTTCCTCCTGTACACAACACAGATTTCCCAAGTCTTTGATTCTTTGGTAAAAAGAAATTACAGTTGTATAAGGGCAGCTTGGTTAGGGATGATTATTATTATTTTTAAAGTGCTCAGTTTTAATATCTAGTACAAGGAAAAAAACAGTGTCATGCAGCCATAGTTAACAATCAAAATCCATTAATCTTATGCTGATTTGTGTAGAAAATAAAATTCTGTACTTGTGCTGTTAACTGTAAGCTGCCTAACCTCTAGGTGATTTAAAACCAATGCCAATTGTAAAGAAAGAGGACATCACTTTGAAAATTCCACTCTAAAAACAGGTCTTTTCCACTGACAAAGATATTTATGTGATGTTTTTCAGTAAGAGATCTGGCATTCCAATTCATCCAACAGCAGAAGGCAGGACAGAGCCTACTGCACATGCATGTGAGAGTTTAGATAGAATGTCCCAGTGTCAATGAAGCCTATTTTAGATTCAGCTTTGTGAATAAGATTTTGTCTATGCACGTTTTCAAAAGCCAACTTCATATTCAGGTATCAGGATGATAACAGTGGATGCAAACTGCACCTTTGTAACACAGACAAAGGTTCTTTTATTTTATTTAACTAACCTCATAGCAAGCTTTGAGACCAGCTGTGAATTTCAGAAATCTTGATTAATCTTTATGGAAAAAAAAACCCTAAGAGAATGACATTAATACTAAGAATTTATTTGCAATATACAAAAAGAATACATTCCTTATATTAAGTCAAGGCAAGGCATAAGTTACTTTTCTATAATTACACATGAAGCATATTTTTGTGTTCAGATAATCTTTTCTTCTTGAAAATGGTGCTGATCACAGTACTCCTGAATCCCTGGAGAGACATGGAAAAAGTAATACATAAATACCAATCCTGCTGTCCCCTGCTGCTATCACAGGTTGGGCCTTTGTCACAGCCAAGCAGCGTTAGGAATTTTGTTGGTATTTTGAAACAGTACATCATTGGCTCCTGAGGTAGTTCACATGTAATTACAACCAGGAGGAGGCAATATTACCCAGCTGTATTAGTAGGCTCCCCTTGGTGGCCTGCTTAAAAATTGCTTGAGAGCAAGCAAACACATCTTTTCTTAATGATTTAAGCAAAAGAATGAAAACAGTTATTAAATACAATTCAGACACCAGTTTGTAAGTCCGTCATAACGAACAACCAAAAGAAGTAAAGATTATATTGCATGTTGCATTCTTAATTGCTATGCACGTGTACCCTGGTTTGTTTTTTGATTACACGTGACAGAAAACCAATTTCTAGCACCTCTAATGCACTGCAGAAGGGATCCACCTTCATTGTGATTTTAAGACTTACTTTGAATTATGTTCCTGTAAGATGACGTTGCTGGAGACTCAGGCACTTCAGACAAGAAAGACTGACCTTTGTCACAACTTTTTCCTGAAAGGACAGAAAAAGCATGAAAACAGTGCAACAGGAAAACAAGAACTTGTCTTTACTTACTGCTCATCCCACTATCAGTTACACTCCTCCAACAAACCACTGGTATCCACTCCTTTTAAGAAGTGGTTACATCAGTGATGGAGCTGCAGCTCACAGTTCTACAAAGGACCACTATCAGCAGGAAGTTTCAGTCGTTACTTTGGAAGTACTGACCTGTTCCTCAAATCATTAAATCAGGTGTTCATTTCTAATAGCCAGTGAGCGATGAACCAAGGCATCTCACAATCCACAACAGAATTTGAGTCGTGCCAGTGACAGTGAAGACAGAGCACTAATTTTAATGCTTATCATTTACAAGTTGCTATTCTTTGCACAAGAATTTACTAGTTGTGTTCTCAGGTGATTACACCAAAAAGACATCATGTATTTAGAATAAGGATTAGACAGCTGAAAAAACGTGTAATAAAATCCTTATCAAGATGAAACATCAGGTTAAGTAAATTATCCGGTACTTTTCACACCATGGTATGTGTGATTCAAACAGATGCTCTATGTAAAAAAGAATATTTACCTGAGACACAAAACACTTAAATTTCTGTACGTCAGGCTTCCCAGTAAGAACACCAGCACAGTTTTAAAGCTGTTGTAGTGCAACACAGTAACATTACCTATTTGAGGATCTAGAGGCACTTTACCCAGGAGGGAAACATTTAAATTCTGGCACATCTTCTCTGCACCTCCAGTAGTTGGGGGAAAGATCTGAGATTCTTTCTGGAACAACGTGAAAATAAGAGTTACAGTGCTCCAATTCTGAGAACAAGGTGTTTTTCCAGAAATATTTTGTATGCAAACAACACTGAGATAAAGAAATGTTTTAAGACACAGATAGCCTTACCTTGCAGTTTGGACATATAAAGCCACTCATGTTCTCCACAACACCTATGATTGGCAGTTTCACTTTATGACAGAAGTTGATTTCTTTCCGAACATCCTGAAGTGAGACTTCCTACAAATACGAGGAAACAACTGGACTTTATAGTGAATTGCTTATAATCAATTGGCACTGTTCCCTTTATGCTCATCACAATACCTGTGAATTTGATGTAATTTGAATTTCAAATCTCTAATTTTTTCTTTTAAAAACGTACATCACAGAAATATGCCATTTTCTACTTGCAAGTCAAGCTTTCCCTCAGATTTTAAGTCTTTGTGTGACTTTTCCCTACTCCAACTGATTTATGGAAAGCATCATGCAGCTGGGAGGCAGCACTTCATTTGCTGTCAAACAGTGCATACCTTATCATTTAAACACTAAACTTACTGACTTCTGAGCTTTAAGCCACTGGTGACCAAATTACAAATGCAGTGATGCCAGCTCATATCCTGAAGAAGTGAATTAATGCATTTCACTTCACGACACAGATCAGACAGCTTTTGACCATGAACACTCAGTGGTGCAGAAGCTCACTTAGGTCCATTACTCCATCAAGGCATCCACCTAACTCATAAAGCAGTCAGCTGCACACACAGAGTAAGTCAGTCAGCTCCCTTCTCTGAAATTAAACACTGATTGTAAACCAAGCACTCGCTGTGCTGCTTCTGTGAATGGAAATAAAGATCTCTTACCTGAGGGGTAGTAATTATAACAGCGCCATCTATATGTGATGCACTGAGGTACTGCACAATTGATAGGTGCTCATCTGATGTTCCTGGAGGGGTGTCTACAATCAGGTAGTCAACTTCACCCCAGTCCACATCACGAAGAAATTGTTTGATCAACCCTAGAAGAGAGGACAAGAACATGGGATTAAATGAAATAAAAATCCTTGTATATTTCAGTCTGCTTCAAATTTTAGAGCCCAGGTACACAAATCCTTCCCACTACAGTCGACTTGGGTACAGAAGTGCTTATTTTGCAAAGAATTAAAACAAACAATAAGCAAAAACCAAAACCTAATAAAGCATCTGATCCACTGTATCCATTATTCAAAGAAACTAGAGAGGATATTGAGAAAAAGTTCTGTGATGAAAGTGGAAGCAGTAGCACAACTATATTCCACAGCTCTGGCTCTACTCTGCAAGAAAAATGATGAAGGTATGGAAACTACTACTGAACAGTGTGGAGTATTCGCTGTTTTTTTTGCCATTGCTTACTATATTAGATTTGTGCTATTAGCCAAGTAAGCTCATCTTCAGATATTCACTCTTCCGACCACGTAAGTTGTTGCTGAAAACCCTGAACACGTACCATTTTTTTTTGGTCCTCTCCAGATGACAGCATCGTCAGGACTACTGAGCAAGAACCCCACTGACATGACACCTAAGTTTTCCTCAACATACTAAAAGAGAAGAGAAACTCCATGCAGAACAGGAGAGAAATGGTAGAGGGGATGCACTACAGGTGACCTTTAGACAAAAACCACCTGGCATTTTCCCTGCATATTTTTAAGATTAATGAAATGCTTTCTGGGGGGTGTAAGAGACCCTCTGCCCGTCACCATTAATACAAAAGTACACTGTGCTTCTTCCCCAGTCCTTCTGCTCCTCAGAACAGTGTCAGACCCAGTCAGCCACCTCTGGGAACAACTGCCCCAGCTTACCACTGGAGACCATCCTGATCCACTCTGATGAACCTGAAAATTGAAGAGAGACATACAAAGTCACACTAGAAATTAATGCAGAAGTTATGTAAAAGATGAACAGAAGACAGAAGAGGATAAAAAGACCTTGCCTATGGACGTGGTGCCACTACACTGGACCAGTTTAATTAAAAATTGCAGAAGAGCTAGATCTCCATTAATAAGTGAACTGCTGAACGCTCTTGCTGGAGACATACCCATGATTTTATATAAATAGGTGAAACATTTCAGAGCTGATAAAGAGCACCATGCTGGTACGACTCAGGTTCAGTGTTTATGGATTAGCAGTGGATGCAGAGCAGAACCTGCCTGGCAGAACTGGTCACCCGGATGCCTGCGACCCTTTAACAAATGACAGCACACTGCATATCGGCCATCTCACCTTCTTTGCTCCCCTACCCCCTAGCTGGCTTCCCAATAGATGACATTATAGAAGCCTTAAATCTAAGCAGAGCTGAAGTCTTAAGGACACAGTGGGAATGCTTTTGTCTGACACATTCAGCCTCTCGCTATAGGAGCGGGCCGAGCGCACCTGCTCTCCTTCCAGACCCATCATCTTAGGGATGGACGGCCCACAGATGTCGACGTCCAGCAGAGCAACCTGGAACACAAAGCAACGAAGGCCCGTGGAAACGCGCCTGCACAGCAGGGCTTTGAATCCCAAGCCCCGCACACCGCAGCGAAACAAGCCGTGAGCGATAACGGAAGGCCGATCGCGCCCCACCTGTTTGCCCTCGTCGGCCGCCAGCCCGTGAGCCAGCAGCGCGCTGAACGTGCTCTTCCCCACGCCGCCCTTCCCGGAGAGAACCACGACGATGTGCTTCACGCCGCGCAGCCGCTCCCTCAGCTCCGCCGCCTCGGCTGCGGGCAGCGCGGCCGCGTCAGTCCCACCCCAGCGCGGAGCCCCAGCGCGGAGCCCCGTCCCGCGCCCGTCCCTCTCGCCGCCTCTCTCACCCGGGTCCGTTGCGGCGGCGCCGGCGGCGCAGAGCTTCTGGTTGGGGCATCCCTGACACGCGGCGGCCCGACCCGCCTGGGCGCTGCCGGTTCCCGGGCAGTCTGCGAGGGGATGCGACAGCTGCAGCACGAGGCCCGCTGGCGGCCGCGAGCACCGCAGCGCGCCTGACCCGCGCGGCACCGCGTTCCTCACCCTCCGGCCGCGAACCGTCCGCCGCCTCGGCCATGGCGCCGGCCTTACGCCACTTCCGCCGGGAGCGCGGCGCCCTACGCGCATGCGCCTGCAGCCGGGGGTGGCCGTACCGCCTGGGCGCTGGGGGGCGCTGCAGGGCGATAATGGCCGCGCTGCGCTGATGCGCGGGTGCTCGTGTTGGGAGTTTTGTGTCTACGAGGTTGTGTATCGCTCCAGAGAAATAACAATTTGCAGCAGTTTTGAGTATCTGTGGAAACCGCAGCGGTAAAATTGAGAACCCGAATGACCCCAGCTGGGCATCCTCTGTGTTCTGTGCTAAGGACAGGCGATCTGATAGAGCCGAGCATTGAGCCATGGCACCGTTCTTCATCTTTCCTGGCAGAAAATAAAACACCGCTCTAAGTAACTGTCCACATACCAAGAAAGGCAAACTAGGGACAGAAGTCTTGAAGCACAGTCAGTTTATGGGGAGCCGGCCTCTGGGGTCGGCTGCTGACCACTGCCTGTTACACCATTTCCATTTAAAGGGCATTGACCTCAGGTAAATGCAGCTCACACCTCACGAGAAGATAAATATAACTTAACAATAATTTGATTGAAATTACCTCTCTTTCTTTTTTCTTCTTCTTCTTTTTTTTTTTTTTTCAGCTGAAGTGTAATGTCATGCTAATCTGCAACATAATGCATAAAAATATGTATCTTTTTGTTTTCCCAAATTAAAAACACAAAAACAAGCTGATTCATAGGTACGTATCTGGAGAAGGAGTGACGATAGCAGCTGTCTTGCATTGAACCTAGAAGAAATCTGCACTGATTTAAGGACCCTTAGGATAATGAAATACAGTGCCTAGATACAAATAATTATTTATATTCAAAATCCCTGGCACAAAAGATGGGTTACAATGTGATCTTAGAGCACTGGATTTCAGGAGCTTTTTGCCAGAAGCCTGAAAGGAAAAACTACAAAAATAAGTCCTCCGAGAAGCGACCTAATGTTTAAAACATGGGAAAAAATCACCAGGAGAGGAAGGTACTGCATGTGCATTTGGAACAAACCATCTGCAAACAGCATCAGGAGAGCCCGAGACAACAGCCAGAGCCTGTGCTTCGGTTCAGACTTGTTTTGAATGCAGCAACTGACTGATACAGCCATACTGCTTCAGCCCCATCTGGAGGGAGCCCTCAGTAAACATTCTGAAGGGTGGAGCAAAGGCAATGGAATGCACGATGGTACCTCGGAGCCCTGTGACACCACTGTGTGTCACCGGGTGCTGGCAGCCCAGGTCAGCCTGCAGCGGGGCTGCCTGAAGGCGGCTGCCTGAGCCCTGGGCACGATGGAGTTTTTGGGGACCACGCAGGTTGCCAGCTACTGTGGCACGCGGAAGAGCTGCCTGTTCCCGGACCCAGCCCCCACCAGCACCACCAAGGACACCTACCAGTCCTACTACCTACCAGGATACCGCCACCTCAGTTCCTGGAGGCCCAGTCTGCTTCACAAAGTGGTCTCGGTCCTTCCCAGCTCTGCCGAGCTGTTCAGTCCCACTGGGCGGCCACCCACTGTTCTGCCCACCTTGCGTTCTGCCCTGCATTCCCGCTACAGCACTCGCGACTGGCACCACGCAAACATGGTTCAGTTAAAAGGCTCTGAAGCCTCCAGGTACTGGGCTGGAAGGCTGAACACTGATTCTTTGCGATTGATGCAAGATAAGGACCAACTGACTCATCAGATGCAACAAGACAGTAGCAGAAACTTGGGAGAGAGGATCACTAACATTGATTTCTGGAGATCTGAGCTCGCCTATGAGCTAGAGTGTCTGCTCAAAGAGACCCAGGCCTTGGAAACGGCCAAGAAACGGCTTGAATGTGCTGTAGGTGAAATCCAGGGACCGCTGAAGGTAGGTCTGACACAGCTGCTTACTTCACGATATGCCTGAATGGGTAAAGAGAATATTTTTCTCTCTGTTGAATACTATTATAACTTCCACCGTTGTCACCAAGACAGACCTTGGTCAAACATTACCCTTGGGAGGAGGGAAACTTGGCCACCATGGTCACAGGTCAATACAGGAACCTACCAGGATGCTTCTATGCCTTCTTCCCCTGTCTCCCCTCTCCAGGAGGCTGAGGCTCCGGCAGGTGCAGGCAGTCATCTCTGTGCCATCCAGGAGAGCAGGCAGTGGCTCAGTGAGCTGCAGTACTCCTCAGCTCCCTGTTCAGTAATGGTAGGGAGACTGCATAACTGCAGTCATTCTCTAGAACGTAGATACAAAACTTCCAAACTTTGACACTGAGTAAGGGTCAATTAGGAGAGATGAGATCAGGGATTTTGCTATGGGTAAGTGTAGAACATAGGTGTTTTAATTAACACAATGTTAAACAAAACGGGCAAGTTGTGATGTAGGCCTTGCTGCACATTGCTATGCAGCTAATCAAATGAAAGCTTTGGTGGCAGCTAATCCCTAGAAGTATGTATTAACAGATAAGGTAATGAGCCACAAAGACTCATCAGTTTTGTGCAGTGGAGCCATCTCCTATTCTGTTTCACCCTCAATGGATAACATTTGTCATGTCAGCTCCGTGGTCCCTTCAGCAAAGTTTTTCACTCTACAGTGCAGTACTGTGCCTATTGCAAATGTTCTCTGGTTTGCTTGCAGACAGCCCTGGAATGCTTGTACTACCGTGAGAAGCGGAAGGAAATAGACTTGGTTCATGATGATGTGGAAAAAAACCTCATGAAGGTAAGATTGGACTTAATAGTTTATTTTGCAAACTGTGAGAATAACCGAAATCCAACTAAATGTTCATCAGGGCAAAAGCATGAGTTCATAGCTCATTTGGAAGATTGAAGGTGAGAGAGGAGAAAAAATGGGTCAAACTACACATAGTGGCAATGACTGATATTCTGTTCATCCTCCCTGGAACAAGAGGAACAGCCATGCGTCTATCTGAGGTCCTCTCCAGTTTTGTCTTCTCCTATGAAGTGATGTGGAAACAATCTCAAAATTGTTTTTTAGACCATGTTTTATAAAATTCCTGAAGTCCTTAAGGGCTTACAGAATAAAATAATTGTTCACTGCCTTGCTGTTTATATAGTTTTACTGAATAAGGAAAGCAAGATTGTAGTGATTGCTAAATCTTTCAAATATAAAAGAAAAAAACCAAACAAGTACCATTTCATTAAGATTTGAAAGAAGTTATATTGGAAGCATAAGAAAACTAATATTAGGAAAGAAAATGATGGGACAATGCCATTTCTTCAAGTACTTTTCTGGATTAGAAGATTACAGAAGGATCTGCAGACCAGCTGAATAACCAGAATGTTTGTTCAGAGCCTACAGTGTGCAACTGTACTAACAGCCAGCTCAGCAAGAGAATGAATGGCAGGATGAAATACCGCTGACTTTTCCAACATGACCAGATTAAAAAAATATTTTTAAAAATGAAAAATAAAGACCATTTGTCTGATCTCCCAGAGCACTGCTCTGATTATGGAACAAGCTAGATAGAGTCAATGAAGGCCAAGAAAGTCCTGTTTTGTAGTAACAGCAAAGCCACTTGTAAAGTTTGTCATTTGTATACGGTGCAGGTACAGGGACAGAACTTGTGATTTTAAATTTGGTGTCTCAATGACTTTTTATTTGCTGTTTCAAAGCTTAATCATATGAAAAAGCTGTTCACACCGCTAAGAGGGTCTCTTATGCTAAAAAAGGGTTTCTGAAAAGGACAGAGAATGGATGGAGTGGCATAAGGTTGTTTGAAGGTCTGTAAGTTTGCATAGTTTCCAGTGTGGTTTGTTTCAGTATTTTTTATTTATTTTAATCTGAGTGGAAACTTGGCTTTGAATTTCTTTGACTAATATTTATACTTATGAAGAGTTTTGTATTATTTATATCAAGGAGCCTACTTCTGAAATCAGATATATTTTCAACCCATTCTGCTATTCTATTAACAAAGTGTTTACATTATGGTAAAAAATGTAACAGCAGTTAGAGAGTAGTTTAATAGATTAAGGCTCATGTTTCAAGTACATTCATTATACCTTGCCTAAGAAAAATTTGTCCTTACGTTTATCAGAATGACTTTATCCATTAAAATCTAGAATGTTTGACACAATATAAAAAGCCATACAGAACCAACTCCAAAGATACAACTTTGTGGCACTGAGGAAGATAGGGACAAAAACACATCCCTTCTTGATCCACACATTCATTCCACATCCACACATGAGATGATTTCAACATCTAGAATGCAGAATTAAAAGGTTATATTCACTAAAGCAAATGGAGTTTGATGAAAGCATTGACATCTGGATATTTTCCACTCTAGGAGGTTGATATATACAAAGATTGTCAAGAAATACTGGCAAAACTTGCACAAAGAATCAATCATCAGTTGGGGTAAGTATTTACATTTAATTCCTGTTTTAAAGACAAGAAGCTAAATTCAGTGTTGGCTAGGATCTAATGGCAGATTGAAAATAGCAATTGCAAAATCAGAGGCTTAGCCTGTTAGATGCTCCTTGCCCTTCACTTCTAATTCTTACTAATAATTGAATTTGTTAAGCTGCAGAAGAGCAATACCTATCATTTAGAGCACCATCATTTAAAGTGAACCAAGACAATTTGCCATCTTCTTCAAAGATTTCTCCCATCTTACAGCCTTGCTAGCATGAAAGCCATTACTGAATGCTCACTCTCTTTTGCTCTGAGGCTGTCCTGCATGCCACACAACAACTCTCTCTTGTTTTTCACCCATGTGGTCATTTGCCATCAGAATGACAAACATCATTCAATGCACTGAGTTAAATGCAGTTCTTTGGGGAACGCTCAGAAGCTAAAAGGTGAGCAGGGTGAAATGATACAGCAGCTCCCTCTAGCTAAATTACGGCGCAAAGCATTTTCATGCCACTGTAAATGCCAGCAAATGATATACTGAAGCATGGGAGGGTGTTAGTGAAAGCAGTTAGCTACGGAGTACTAAAGCTTTAAAGATAGTTCAGATTAAAGTAAGACTTTCTCCTTCACAGCATCAACAGAGATGCACAGCATGCCTTGGAGCAGGATCTTTCTGACAAAAACTCAGCCCATTTTATTGACATGAAGTGCTTTAACCTGAGGAACACATCAGACAGCATCAACTTCTACCATGGAGTGGAGAAAGCAGATGGGACGTGAGTATGAGTGGTCACTGCTGTCTTCTCTTCCCAAGCAGGAGCCTGATTACAGCACAAGTTCTAGCCTTATATTTGAAAAGTGGCAGAAAAAGAAGTGTCTCTCTATATGGCCCTATGTCTTTCCTTGGTGTGAGCCCTCCATCATCCTCAGGCAGTGCCTGCTTTCTAATAACTGCCGTGGTTGGAGAGCAGATAGAAGCTGACAGTCTGCAGCCCCTACAATATTGTGCACTGAGCTGCTGCAGAGAGAACAATCATTTACAAACTTGTTGCAGCTGACTCGTTGCCTTCAAACTGCTTCATGCAGATCTCTCTTTTTGTTTTTAATTTATAATCTGTGTTCTTCAGGTTTCAAAACACATGAAATCAAAGCAAAATATAGCTAAGGTGTGCAACTAAGTGCAGCACGGTGAGCAGCATGCAGGTGAACACCAAAAACTATATATTTTTTTCATAAAAATAGCTTGGATTATTTGGAAATTAACCCATCAAGATGTACAGGACATGTATTAAATAGTATGACTGAAAGGATTTAATAGATTTTAACATGACTGATTGGAATTTTGCAATTATATACAGTTTTAAAACTGTGTATCATAGTTTACTTATGAACACCTGCATCCAATTCTAAAGTAATAGCAGAAGAAAAACAACTTGCAATAGAGGGCAGTGTTTTTGTGCTAATGACTTGTTAATGCACTTCTCACTTGGACAGAGCAGTATCTAAATGGTGAACATACTCCATACTTTCAGATGATGGCGACTCTGTCTTGTTGAACAGTGAAGGGAAAAAATGTGCACTGTTTGTTTACTAACAGAACATAAGATCACCTCATTCACTACTGAAATAAGGGAGTAAATGAGGAAAACTTGGCAGGACTTCTGCTGACTCCAGTCATACTACCTACTTGTAGTATTAGCAATGAAAATAAAAGTATGCTTGTCAAAAAAGTAGATTCATGTGGGTAAGTTTTACAGCCCTTTTCCTTTTTCACCAACCATAATCCAAAGCAATGTCATTTTTCATTAACATCTCACTGCAATAATTTGGCAAACTGAGGCATACATGCAGCACTTGGGAGCAGAGCAGGTGTTTTCTGCCTGAATCATTCAACAGACTCAGCCAGATAAATTACAGTCTGGAAAAGCAGTGTTAAAAAACAGATCAGGTGTTAAGTACTTCAAACCATCAAGATGGAAACCTTCTTGGGAACTCAATTTTCTGATCAGAAAATGAATATTATACATCAGACCAAGAAAACAACAACAACAACAACAAAAAACAACCACCAAAACCACGAACACCCTACAGAAAGTACACTGAGATTGGTTGGATAAGTTGTGAGCACTGTCAGCTCAGCCTTAATACACTGATTTATGCCATCTTGAAATCGTGTTGGGTGCCTGAAACTTTTCAGGACAACTACTGAAATAAATGTGTAGTACTAAAGATTTCCAAATACTTAGAAAGATCAGTGCTTCAGTTTAGAGAGACAGGGATACCCTATGAAAAACTGGGGGAAAAAAATGGCCACTGAGAAAACAAGACATTGCAAAATTCAATTATTTCATCCCTTAATATTAAATCTCAGTTTTCAGTTAAGATCTAAAGAAAATAAATGAGACTCAAAAAATGGCAAAACGTTCCCTGCAGATTTTAACATACAAGCATAGTTCTTAGAGGGAAGTTTTGCATAAAGCAGGATGTTTAAATGCAGGCAGAAGTTTTTTTCAGCCTTTCCTTTTGGCAACTAAAAACGTATGTACCTTTTCATAAAATATTCTAATTTTTTCTTTGGTTGAAGGGCAGAGTGATGTGGTAGGCTGAGCAATGCATTAAAGAAGGCAATGAATTTAACTCCAAAGAGGGCAGCTTATACAGCACCACTTTTTCCTGGGGGCTCAGGCAGCAAGCTTAGGGCCCTACAGACTCCCACTTTGGAAAAATCTGAGTCTGGAATATATGTTCAATTAAGGTAATTAAGGCCATCTGTGAAGGCTTGACATAAAACCAAAAGTCCCAAAGTTTTTTTGGCTACATGGCATTGCAGAGGGAACATTCTTGGCTTGCATTTTTTCTATGCAGGAGACCTTTATTCAGTTTTTCTATGACTATTTGTAGACTTTCCCATAGCAATGTCATTTCTATATGTCTCATATATATTAATAAGTTTAAGAATATAATAGGGCCATAAATTGAAGCAGAAGTGTTCATTATAATACATGGAAAAGAAAGAGGATGGAGATCCTACAAATAATACAGATGTACAGTGATGGAGCAGGAAGAAAATTCCAGTTCTCCTCACTCCTGTCCTAGGTCGGGTCATCCATCATCCTGCTACCATTCTTTCTGATGATTAAGCCTCTAGGAGAATCAAAGCCACATGCTTTGCTGCATGGGTCATGTATTTCTTGTGACATAGGGCTGTTGATGTGTAACAATCCTGCTCTCATGGCTAATTGGTCATTTGCATCAACTAGGTTGGCTTCTCATGTTTTCTGGCAGTTGCTGACACACAGCTCAGTTTCTCCAGGATAAAGGCCTTGGTCTCTCTCAGGCAGTATTTGAATCTAATTTGATGATGTACCACGTACTTTTATTTTCCTTACTAGTGTTTCAGTTCCTGCAACGTGGGCTAAATTCAGTGAAGACAATGTCAGGTGCTCTCAGCATGCAAGGGCCAATTCTGTCAAGCTCCGGGAGGATACAGAGGTTGCACTGGAGAGCACATCTGAGGAGCTGTGGAATCAATTTGTCAGCACCAACTTGGCCTTTAACAGGCGCATTGCTGAAGTAGCTGATGCAAAGAATAAACTCCAAGCACAACTGGCTAAGGTAAGATTCACTAAGCATTGGCAGCTGCATGTAATCCTAGATGTGCATGAAAGGCACAGAAATCTCTAGAGTTTACATCTTTCTTGAATAAGCACCTTATCGAAAGTCATAGCTATATTCCCTTTCCTCAGGCAATGCATTTGCATCACTTGCAGCCTGAGAAGAGCTCACTCAAAGATGAGCAGCCTGAGCAGATGACAGAATTTTACAAGAAGCCATACAACATCTGTCCCATACAAAGAATCAGTGTGCTTGTGTTCATTTGCACATGTTTTAGGTTTTCTTTTTTTTCCTTTCCTATTTTTCATTTATTGAGGCTATTCCCTGGTGATTTCCTGAGCAAAGAAAGTTTTATTTTTTTGGTAAACAGTGAAATGACTTTGGAAAGCACACAACTAAAAAGGCCCACAAACATTGTAACATCTTTTTTCTTTTAGAGGAAAGAGAATATTTCAAGTTTTTGCACTTTTGTTCTGCAGCAGTGAAAGAAAAGTTCAGAATTTAAAAATCCTTACATTCAAAATGTTATCAGTCTGCCTTTGAAACCTAAGTTCCAAGTTCTTCTTTTAATACGGTATCCTTTCACATCTTTAACCTGAATTTTAGCCTTGGTTGTGCTTCAATATAGTCTCATATCTTGGGGTGGTTCAGACAGTTAACTTCTCAAACATTTCTTCCTTCTTTTCATGTGATAAAAAGGAGAAATAGCACTGAAGGTGACAGACCTGTATTTAATTCCATCTGTAAAACCTTTTCAGTCAGTTTTCATGGAAAAATGTGATTTGTTGGAAATGTATTAGTGGAATTTTGAAGCATATTCTAAAGTTAACAAGAGGTGCTGCCTTTGTACTGTCAGATAAAACCCTGTTAAGCTATGAAGACATACTGTGTTATTCATGTGACTTTAATCAGAGTTCACTGAGTTCTTCTATTAAGACTCCTTCTCTTATAGAGGCTCGTACTCACCCATTTGTTTCAATGCACATTTGGAAACAATAGAGTTTTCCTGCCATTCTATTTGTCATAAGTTGTTTAAGATGTTTTCAGTTTATTTTTAGGGGCTTGAAGGAAAGTGCAAACAACCAGCTAAATGTGTGTGAAGTCACAGCACATAATGTTTTCTTCTATTCTTTCCTGCTTATAAAGCACAAAAGATGTTGAATGTCGTTTTTGTGTGGTTTGGATCTTATATAAATGAAGCCAGCTATAGCACTTTATCCCTGAATTGACTATCCACCTAAGTTTCTCATGGACTTAATCTATGAATACTTCACATTTTCCAGTGACTTTTTATAAAAGGTAAAATAGAAGTACAAAAGGTAGAATAGGGCCCACGTGTGGAATCACAAATTGCAGTGTGAAATATCAACATACTATCAAAGATTTGGTCACCGTGTCCAGCTGACTCAGTGCTGACAACTTGTAGATAACAGAAGAAGGGACTTATGTTTCTATGCTGTCACACTACTGGATTGCAGTAAGAAGTGACTGGGAGAAACTGAAGTAATCATATTTGTATAAAGAATAATTAGGTTGTGTGGTTTGCATGGATTAAAAAAGTGTCACACAGGATGGCATTCCATGAGCTGCTACTGCTGCTATGTAGTGATGAGTTACAAAGTGATAGCAGATACACAGCAGAGACCTTCATCTCAAACTCCATAGTAATGTAAAAACAAAATGCTGTAGGTTTACAGAGCAGAAGCACTGCTGGTTAAGGAGTGGATGAGACTATATGATAGAAAGCCTATTAATTCTTTTGCTCGTGATACCTCAAAAGGACAGGAGGAAAGAGAGAGAGTAAGGAATGAATGCTTATTTAATGGTCAGCTATAGCTAAGCAGAGGTTTATTCTTTCTCCAAGCTTGCAGTATTGTCTGTAGAACTTAGAGAAAAAAAAAATACAGCTAGGATATGCTTTAATAAGACAGCCACAGGAGCAGCTAGGGCACAAGGCTGTCCCTTAAACACTGCCACACTTTGGTAAAATGCAGCTACTATAGTTCCTTTTCCTTTCACATGCAATACTAACCCACTGACCACAGCGGGTGCCACAATTTCATTTTCTTGTGTTTAGAAAATAGAACACTCTTTCAAAGGCTGTTTTTGCACTGGCTTCACAAGGAATGAATGTCAGTGTTAGAGACATCCTTCCTTCTGCCAAATTCTTTTCCTAACTAAGCAGACTACCTCCATGAACTGGGAGGAGAATGAATATAGAAAAAGTTTGCTTGGAACCAGGAAAAGTTATATATTTAATGAGATCTGAAGCTCATTTCTGAATGAAAAAATAATTTTCTGCTTTGTGAAAGAGCCAAATCTCTTCCAGACAAAAAGCTACACAGGGAACTTCCTGTAATTATTTGTTTCTAAAATCAGAAAGGAAAGAATAATTAAAAAAAAAAACACATACAAGAGTAAATAGTGTGAATATGGTGATGATAAAAAATAACCACATGTTGAAATAACACATTTTCTTCTGTCTATATCACTTACATGTAAAAGATCAGCTGGTTAAGATTACGAATCTAATGCCTCAGCTTGTGGTCTCAGCATGTTCTTCCTCCTCCTAAAAACCTACCAAATTAGTATATATAAAAAACCTCAAAATGTAAAGAAAATCAGCAATTCATTATTACTCTGTTTAGTTCCATTGTAGAATATGTCTTCCTTTATGTCCAGATAAGTGTTTTCTATTTACCAAAAGACGCAGAATGTCTCTGTAATAAAGGCATCCTGTTGTTTTCACTTCTATCAAGAGTTAGGCCAGGAGTTTTGCCAGGACCTTCTCCATCAATGACATAATGTCTCCATTTCAGGTTACAAACTGCACAAGTCTCAGAGTAATAACTACACAGCAGTACAGCTGCTTTTTTAAGCATTTTTTCTGCCTCTAGAATGGTGGGTGGACTTGAACCTCAGTTTCTACCACGTTCCTGCATCATTTACCTTGAGTTACTGATGTGCAGTTGAATATCAGATCTGAAGAAATTCCCTGTTGCACCTGACTGAGATTCTGGCACAGCTTTTAAACTAGGTTTGCACTATAAAGTGTCCACACATCATGTTTAAAAGTGCATGAACAAAACACGCACTTGAGAATAATACTTCATGTAGTTTACCTTCACTACATACACTTCCCAATCCAATCAGGACCAAGGGATGCAGTGAAGAAGTCTTCCTGTAAGGCATCTGATAAACAGACATGAGAAAATTATTTCAAGAGGAATGGAGCAAAATTCTCAACAATGCTTGGCACTCTCCTTTTTTGTATCTAAATTAGTCCAAACAAGACCACTTTACAATATAGATCACCTGCTCCACTACATTTTTTACTATGAACCTCCACTAATCTTCATTTATTTAGAGGAATGGCTTAGTGACTTACAGATGTATCATCTTGGGTTAGACCAGCTGTGACTTTATCTTTTATTCTACTTGGAGCTCAGCCTGAAGGTCGGTGCTTGAAAGGGCTCCAAGTTCAGATCGAGTTTCCAAGGCAGTGTAAGAGGTCTCCAAAGAGCATTGTGATTCCAGCTTGCCTTTCTGCATTCACAGTCCAGCTGCTGTCTGCTCTCACTGATGTACTCCACTGATGTATTCAGGAAACTGTCTGAGTTCTCTTTACTTCAAATTTTCATTGTCTGCTTTTCCTTCCTGACACTTCTTCTGGGGAGGCTGGTGAGGCTCACAGCCCCCAACTCTATCAGAAATCTGGGAAGTGATTTGCCTAGGGAAACAGTAAAAACGGATTGAAGTGCTTCTGTATGACTCTGAACAGGAATCTACTGAATGCAGAAAGGAAATGCTTTTCCTAAAAACTTGCTTTATATGTCTCCCTTTCTAGTTCATGGTAGGGTTTCCATGATGAATTATCCTCTGCCTGCTTTTGCTTGATTTTTCTCTAGCAGGCTGAGACAACTTGCCATCTTTTCAGAAACTTAGGACAGGAAGTACGGGTGTGGTATAAAGCATTTCCTACTGCAACTCTGAAGCCTGGAAGTCATCACAACTTCAGAAGGATTAAAAGAGTGGAAACTGGGCAATTGCTTGAATAAGTTCCTCAACTTCCTCCTTAGTAGGATGAAAAGGATGATGTTAGTAGCACTAGATGACACCGCTTGATTTAGGTTATTCAAATAACTGTTGGAGAAGGGGCACAACACTTGCTAACTCTACAAACGGCTCTATAGAAGCAGACAAAAACAAAAGAAGAATCAGTGGCAAGAAAGAAGCCAGACAAATCCAGATGGAACACTTCTTTTTCAAAGCAAAAGAATTCATCACTGCAAGAGTTTACCACAGATAGGTGACTTCATTAGTGTGAAATCAAGACCAAGATCGCTGCTCTTCCTGAAAGCTCTGCTTTTCCTACAGGCACTGGTTTATGAAGAGGGATTGCTACAGGGTAGAGGAGTGTCCTGCAGGCAGTGTAGGCAGCTAAATAACAGTCTTTCTTCTCACCCTGAGATTGAAAATGTCCTATTTCCATTTCTATCCCAACTGCATAAGTCTGCCATTAGTTTGTCTTACTTGATTCTGGGATTAATCTTGTTTTCTGAGAATTCTTGTGAGAATCTGGATGGCAGAACCATAGATACATGAGATTCTGAGGCTGGAGACAAGGAGCCCTTGCTGGCCAGGGTTAAACCCTACAACAAAGAGGGTATCACAGCTCTGCTGTGTTTCATTGTCACTGGGCTCACAGAGAATGTAGCTGTTTGGGGATGGAGATATTTTGCAGGGTTCTAATCACAATGTGTGACCCTGGTCAGGCACAGAGCTGTTCTGGGACCAATATTTTAGGATAGTGAACAGCAAATATAGCCCACACAATTCAGTGTAGGAGATGGTGGTATGGTAACTACAGCATGCCCCACTACAAGAAACACTCAGTTTATGATGAGAGAAATTATGATAAATATGTTTGATATAAAATCTACACAAATCTTTAAGAAAAGGAGGAAAAGCAGCCCCTCATTAATATGTTTGCATCTATT